AAAACCAAAAACTTGGTTTTTTGAATTTTTCCCATAAATTTGGAGGTTATGTAAAAAAATTGTAATTACAAAAGTTGTAGATCCTTTTATTACCTACAACTTTGCCATTTAACTTTTTTCCATAGGACTTGTAGTTTTACCGGAAATCGAGATAAACCATTTTTTACCCTTAAAACCCCCCCTCCCACTTCCCAAAGTCAGATCGCCCGTAATTTATTTTTCCTTTTATTTTTATTATATTCTTCTCCTTTTCCAATGGGCTTCATCCTACTTTTATTTTTTTTGGTTTCAAAAATTATCGACCATGGTCTAATAAAACTCTAAAAATAAATAAACTGAAAAATTAAATTAGAGGCTCTTGCTGGCACCACTGCAGTTCTCGTTCTGATATCCTCGTATCAAGCACGCTGCGAGGTGCGCGATGGCTATGCGTTGTCGTAGCCTGCCGGCTGGCCAATCAAATTCTATTTGGCGTTCTATCCTTGTTCTTTTCACGCGGGTATTGAACAGCCGTCCTTTCCAGTGTGGTCGGACTTGGATTTGCAAGCACTGTATACATCCACAGCCCAGCTAAAAGAAAAATACATAATAATTTTATTCATGATTATTGGAGACCAATAAGTGCGTGTGATGATAAGCATAAATTGGTTTAAATCGACTCACTCAAACATAGCCTTTTTAAACCATGAAATGGCTGAAAGTCAGGTGGGCATATTGTGTATTTTGCTTATAGCTGGGCTGTACATACAGCCACAGCCCAGTTAAAAGCAAAATACACAATAATTTTATTAATGGTTATTGGAGACTAATAAGTGCATGTGATGATAAGCATAAATTGGTTTAAATCGACTCACTCAAACATAGCCTTTTTAAACCATGAAATGGCTGAAAATAGTGATTTTTCGAAAACATGGATTTTTATTATATATTTTTGAACTCTTAGCCAATATTATTTGAAAATGTTTTCATTGCTTTTATATAGAGTAAGATCTGTGGTAACAAACTACATTAAAAAAATTTTGCTGGCAAGTTGTTCTAAGAATATATGAATTTATAAAATTAGACAATTTTGCCAAAAATTTGCATTTTTAAAAAAATTCCCAAAGACCATTTAGGGCATCAATAACTAAATGTGTCCTATATGGTTTAAAAGAGAAATATTTTCTTAACAATTAACAGTTTGTTTAATGTCGATAGCTTTATTAGCAAAAAAAGTACAATTTTTTTAAGTTAGGTCTGCATAGTAACTTTTGCGTAGCCCTGTATAAATAGGTGATAGGGGGAGAAAAGAAAAGGGGTGTTTTTTTCACTTCTTGGGTCCATGTCTATTTACAGTTAAAAAAGAAATAAAATTAGAGGATATGAGGTGCACTCATTGGTGGCTAATAAATGGAATTACCCCACTGGAAGGTTTAAAAAACATTCTTAGAATAAACTGTGCTATCACTGATAGCCTATCAGGGATGTCACCGATATGTAATGGCAATGCTCCTATGTCCGCCTCAAGACCCCTTCCTGGGTATGTAACTGTGATGTAACAGTGTTTTATCATAGTTATGTAAACGTGATAAAACAATTATATTCTATTTACATAAATGTTGCATTCTATTTACTTATTATTTATGCAATATTTACTTATTATTTATATATAATTTATGCAATATTTACATATTATTTATGAAATATTTATAAATATAATTTCATGTAATATATTATCTTACTGGTATTAAAAATTGCTTAGCCCTAACTTGGTATTATGGCAAATTTTTTGAAAAAAAATCAATAAAATTTTAAAATTGCCATAATACCAAATTAGAACTAAGAAATTGTTAATGCCAGTTAATAATACTAAGATAATATATTAAATAAATTATAAATAAATATTACATAAATAATAAGTAAACATTGCAGAAATAAATGATTTTGAAAGAGATTAAAAAAAACACAAATTGGTTAAAAATGTTTATTAAAAAATATTTTAATTAAATAAAAAATCATTTCTTCTTTCTAAAGGGGCCAAATAAATCTAAAAACAAACATTGTAAAATATGAAAAATTCACTTTAATTTTAATTTTACAAACGAAAAGTTTTTCGATTTTTCCAAACTTTAACAAAAAAAACCCAAATACATTAATACTTCAAAGCTAAAAAAATATATGGTAAAAAAAGAGAAAGCAATCTCATGAATTTAATATTAATATACCTTCTTTTCATGGGTTTTGTGTTTCCCTCACAAATCTTTGTTTGGGCTGCCAAAACCATTCAGTAACTATGTTTTCAAAATTATTGTCTGTTGAAGTGCAAACAGCAGCTTAAAAAAAATATTTAATAAAAAAAGCCATAAAACTTACAGTTTTGCCCTTTAATATTTCAACAAATTTTAAATTTTGTATTTTTTTGTTGTTTCTTAGGCCTAGCCAAGAGCAATCTTTTGCCAGATTATTAGAGATTTTTTTAAAACTCTTACTGTAGAATCTTTTTCGGAGACACCTTCATTTTTATATACTTACTGAAACTTAAAAAAAATACTATTTAATATTATTTTTGTTTATTGATTTGTTTTCAAAACAAAGAACAACTATTCTTTATGTATACATAGTTATGTAAATGATATTTGGTACAAATAATAATTTGTTTAATTTTATTAATTCATGTCAAATGCATAAAATTAATTGTCACATTGTAATTAAGAAGTGTATCCATCTTATTTAGCAAAATTATTGTATCCTTTACCAGTTGAAAAAACAGTATAAAGTTAAAAATTTATAGATATTAAACTCTTATTTTGGCTACCAAATATCATTAAATTATAATTTGTCGCTTGTTTTTTTAGCACCCTGTTTTAAAAACAAATTAACATTATCAAACAGGTTTAAAATCGCCCTTTATATACTTACAAATTCAGCCTCTACTTCTTTTTGCAATAATGTTTTCTCAAAACTTTTAACAGATCATTAATAAAAAGTTGACTAGGTAAGTATCTATTACACAAATTTTGCAAATCTTCCACAAAAGTATGGGAATTTTCCCTATGACCTCCTGAATATTCTCCCAAATTTTCTGTAAAAATATTTTTATTGAGCTGTTTATTTATTGGCTGGTTAGGGGAAGATAATACTTCGGTTTTAGCCTCAGTATATTCTGGCAAAGGTACACTTTCCACATTGTCTTGGGTATTTTGTATACAATTTCTTACCTCCACGCCCAATAATAATTATTTTAAGATCTGCATTAATTCTCCTCTGCTTTTGCCTCCGGGATAGGGACATATATTTTTTTCTATTTTTTTGTTCCATTTTATTATAAAACAATGGAATCAAATTTAACTTAACTTAAAACACAATAGAGAGCACTCGACACAACCGTTTAAACGAGTTCGTTAGTAAGATAAAAAGGCTTTATAAATACTATAAAACATTAATATAACATTATAACATTTATATATCATTGTTACAATGTAGGGATGTAAATATAACAAGAACGGATCATTTTTATATAACTATTATATTAAAATGTTTTATTATAATTATGTAACAAAATAAAGAAAAACTATGTAAATACCATATAATAAGGTTTTATGGATACTATAAAACATTGCCATATATCAATTATGTATCATTGTTCCATTGTAGATATATAACATTGTATGGCTGATACATAAGGGGGATGTAAATATAACAAGAGGGGAACATATTTATATAAATGTTATATTACTATGTTTTATCATAATTATGTAACAAAATAAAGAACTAATATGTAAATGTTATGTAAACAATTTTATATGGCAATGTTCTTTGTTAGTTATATCATGGCTATGTAAATGGAACAGCCTGGTTTGCTGGGACAGGATTAAACGTAGTGTTTGGTATATTAAAAGTTGGCCAAATGTTTGGTAATGGCTATGCAAATAAAGTACTCTATTTTTGTTTTATTTTTTAAGAGTTACCGGAAGTTGCTCTCCTTGAAGTACTTCAAGTACCCCTAAATATGCGAAGTATTTGTCAATTGGTTGAAAAAAATGGAAAAACATATTGTGTGGAACTTAAAAAAAAACGTAAGCAAAATATAAAAATCCCACTTTTTATTAGCAGGACTTCAACAGGAGATGTAGAAAGTTATTTTAACTTAAAAATAGGTACCTAAGAATTTTAAAAAATCCTTTAAAATAAAAAGATTAATTATCCAAATTCAGTACAAATTCTACATCTGCTGGTGAAGTCCTGCTACTAAAACATGGGACACCCTGTATATTCGTTATTACTTTTTTAAGCTGAACTTACATGCACAGCAGAAAATTGTGACCCAAAGAAATGCAAACGAAAAGGTAAAATTTGTTTGAATCGTCCACACTAATAAGACTGTAGTTTTAGAAGAAACAAAAGAAAAGTAGTAACCTATTATAGAAGCAACATGGAATAAAAAATAAATAAAGTATTCCTAAAAAATCCTTAATTGTTTTCTTTACACCCTGTATAAATTTGGGGAAGAGTCAAATGAGGACACAAAGTCATCCTTGCAGAAAATACATAATGTATAATTTAATTGATTTATTTTTAAATGCCTAAATAATATTACAATAATATTACAAATTGCTTCAAGGTTGTATAAGGTATAATACAATATTTTTTAAATTAAATATTAACAAAACGAAAATTACTATAGTATATATATGTATACATAAATGTAGTATAGTATATGTAATATGTAACATTTGATTGTTTCGACCTTTACTTGATGAAACTCCATATTATTATTATTATGTAGATATAAAAACAAATATGTTTTGAAAGTTTCACGTGTTTTATTTACTTTTGACAATTGTTTCGTCACACAGTGACTTCTTCAGAAAAAGTAAATAAAACACGTGAAACTTTCAAAACATATTTGTTTTTATATCTACATAATAATAATAATATGTAACATTTATGTATACATATTATGTATACATAAATGTTATAAGTATTTATTATTGTAAAAAATTTCAGAGCGCGATAAAATAATTATTTGTCCAATTACATTATTAAATTGTATACCTATTTATATAAAAAAGCAAAACTAAAATTTGTAATTTTGTTAGTTTTGGTTATAAACTCAACATGTTGTTTAATTGTAGCTGTGTCCCATTATTATTAGTGTTGTTTTTTTCATATTTTTTAACTGAGGTAATAGGTAAATAATATTTGTTATTCTTGATGCATTCCAACCCCTTAAACAGTTCTTGGATTTTAATGAAACCCAACTGTCTGAATTATCCAATTAACTAATAGTATTTTAGGCAAGGATAACGGTTTTTGTGATGGAGGAATGTTTACGCGAAACAAATACACCATGGACGTCATCTCAAATATCTACCAAAGTCGCCAATCAACGTTTATTGTGCCTGCACAAGTGCATTTACAAGAAATCTGGTATTATCGATGATAAAGGAAATTTCCTAATAAACTCAATCAGGGAAGAAATGACGAACTCCACCCTGAACGACAATTACAAGGAAGAGTTATTTGACTGTCTTGAACTCATTGAAAAAATAACGAATTGTGACGATATACGTTTGATTAATAATTGTTTTGGAAATGGTGTTATAATAAACAAGAGAAACTACTAATTGAAGGGGTTAGAATAGAAAGGGTATAAGTGCAATTTCTTTAATTTAGGAGATAAGTTCGTTTTGTGAAAGATAAGGTTCCGACGTATCGAAATGAAAAGGATTTAAGTAATTTTCATACTTCTAGGGACCTCTATTATCCAGTAGAAAAACAATACTAAACAAAATTCTTCACTTTTTTATGGTAACATAACTTTAACTTCAAATATCTCCAAAAAATGAAAATGTTACTTATACTCTTTTTATTCTAACCCCTTCAATTGTGCTTTTAAAATAATTTCTTATAGTATATATAAATCAATTGTATGTACCGCGGCTCTATACCTATGCACAACTATATTTAAAGTCAAACTCAATGGTCTCTTACAAGATACATTATTTTGATTTTCTATATTCAACAGAGAGGTAGAAACTCGACCCTGTCGAATGGTGCAGTCATTTATGTCTCTAGAAATTATTAAAAAAGGGTTCAGTCCAATGGTTCAGCAGCTTCGGATTCCTGTTCTCTTTAGAGACATAGAAACTCAAGCTTTTCGAATTTTACTGGCAATAATTTTCGTTAATGTCCCCGAGAATTATACAAAAACAGCGCAATGCAATATCGCAACGGTTTCGACTACCAAGTTATAGAAACTGGAGTCTCTCTAATACTATTCTAGTCAATATTTCTGAGAGTATAAAAAGAGGGTGTAATATTGCAAGAAGTTTTGATCTTTTGATGGGTGCAAGTAGTTTGATTATTCTCATTTCTGCATATGATTTTGTTGAAAATAATTCCTTTCTTTGGTTCCTTTGTCTGATTTTTATTTACCGTTACAACTCAGGTATGTAAAGCACAGAGGATATGATGTAAAGTATATTTATGTATTATATAAAGTACCTATATTTGTATTAAAAATTTCAGAGGTTATGTTGAAAAAATGATCGATATGCTATTAAACTTTAATAATTTAGTAATGAGGTCTGTTGGTAGATCCTGCACATCTCCACTGGAAGTTTTATGTTAGTTCAGCAATATTTAAATCTGGTTGATCAAAAAGTATACACCAGTGCAGGTTATGGTAGCATCTACGAGCAAATGAATTAATGGCCCATTGGCAATTATTCCTTTAGGAAAAATTTTCAACACAGTTGAATTAATTAATAAAATGAAAAAAATCGTCGTATATAGTTTTTTTTTGAAGCATAAAATAGTTTTCATTTTAATACCAGTTCAAAAGTGAAATTACGACCTCTATACTGTGGAGAGTATTGAAACGCTCGACTGACGAATACAAATCTATACCGTGGGGAGATTTAGAAAACTATATTCAAACGTGGCGTCATCCTATAGGATATACACTTCTATAATTTTCCGTTTGCTGTGTATGTTATCCGTTAAGTTTTAAAGTCAATAACTCATTAAAATATGGAATATTCTCATCATTATTAAAAAGAGTTCTTATCAAACCAATTTTTAAAAAAGGGGATTCTAAAATTATTGAAAATTATAGGCCATCCTTTAGAAATTTTTTTTAAACTGTTATGTGTAGTAGATTAATTGAATTTTTTAACCATTTTAATTTATTTAACAGTCATCAACACGGATATCTGAAGGGGCGTTCGATTGATACGGCTGTATATGACTTCTCAGACTATGTCTTAAATGCTTTTGAAAACAGAGAGTGCCCCTTGGGCATCTTTCTAGATCTGTCAAAGGCGTATGACTGTTTGGATCACAAAATCCTACTTCACAAGCTGGATAGATATGGAGTGAGGTGCTTTGCAGTGGATAACTTCATACCTTTCAGGTAAACGTCAGCAGGTGGAAATTCGTAAACAGAATTTTAGGTATATGTCAGAATTTTTAAATGTAAATTTGGGGATTCCCCAAGGAAGTGTAATGGGGCCTCTATTATTTGATATTTTTGTCAATGATTTACCTTTAAAACTGGATTACAATATAATAAGCTATGCAGATGATATATACGAACTTATTGGTTAAATCAAACTCTATTGAAAACAAAAAGCAGAGATTCAATAAATAAAGTAAGCAAAGGTTTTTTTGACAATAGAATAATTTTAAATGAAAATAAAACCAATTGTGTACTTTTTAAAAACAAAATGTCCACTTTAGTAACACCAGAAAGTGTAGTACTAAATGAAACTATTATAAATACCTCGAGCAATACAAATTTTTTTTTATATAGATGAAAATCTTGACTGGTGTAAACATATTAATGAGTTGTTGATTAAACTTAACCGTGTTCATTATTGTATTAGAGTCTTAAAAAAGTACCTATAGATGTTAGTGTTGTTAAACCTGTTTATTTGTCAAATTACCAATCCTTAATGAAATTTGGAATTTTATTCTGGGGTCAATGTAAGTGTATTCAGTCATTATTTGTAGTACAAAAAAGTACTATTCGTACTTTGTTGGGATTAAAATATGGCGAGTCACTTAGAGGTCATTTTAAGAGGCACAAAATTTTAACTGTAACAGCTTTATATGTGTATGAGATATTATTATTTGCTTTTAAAAATATGTCTCTGTTTAATAGTTTAAAATCAAAACGTACTCTAGCATTAAGATATCCTATTCATATATGAATCATAATCATATATGATATCGCTTTACGGCTTATGAAAAAGGCTGTTATTATTCTTGTATTTTCATTTTTAATAAATTACCTAGGAATATTCAGATGATAACCAAAATGTCTATTTATAAAAAACATGTTTTTGACCATCTAATTAATATAGAACCTTATACTTTGTCTGATTATCTACAGTATAAATGCTAAATGTACCTATTTTTTCCTTTGGAAGTTATTTTATTCTAATTGTATAATATTTTTATAAATTTGTAATTACGATTATTTTTAAAATAAATATTATTATTATTATAATGCTAACACAAATTGGGATTTTATAGATGATTGTTGTGACAGCAACTTAGTTTTAGATTTGTTTTATGGTAAGTTGTATGAAATTTTAAATGCTTTTGTTCCTAAGACACCTGTTGGTGAATCTAAATATCCCTTTTGGTATTCACATATCCTAATTAATAATATTAAAAGAAAAGAGCATTTTTATAGGTTATTTAAAAGATACCTATATACGGCTTTAAATACTACAACCTGACATATAAAAGATTTAGAAGTACAGTAAAACCTAAAATTAAACAAGAAAATAGTGAAAACCTTAATAATACTCAACAAAAACTAAAATCTGATCCCAAGCAATTTTGGTCTTACGTTCAACTGAAAAAAGGCAATACGCATATTCCTGGTACAATGTTATATGAGAATGTATCCTATAATACACCTCAACAAATTGTACTACTTCGGTAGTGTATATGAAAATCCCAATCCCAATATAAATTTTAATAATACCAATAATAACTTGTTTAATATCAAGGTCTTAATGCTGTCTGAATTAGAGGTCTGTCAAGCCATTGAGAAAATAAAGAGCATTTTTACGACAGGTGATGATTTGGTTCCAGCATTTTTACTTAAGGATTGTGCTCAGGTATTTGTTACGCCATTAACTAAGATTTTTAGTATAATTATTATTATTATAATTATTAAATCCAGTAGTTTTCCATCTAGATGGAAAATTACAAGAATTACCCCTGTATTTAAATCAGGCAAGTCTAATGATGTTGAGAACTATCGTCCAATAGCTATCTTGCCCAATTTTGCGAAGGTCTTTGAAATGTGTATTTACAACAGTATCTATCCATTGGTAAAATCATCGATATCCTCAAGACAACATGGTTTCATGGCCAATAGGTCTACACTTACAAACTTGTCATTATTTACCCAATATGTTGCCAATATTGGCATATGCTTTTGATAAAAAAAAGTCAGGTAGATACTATATACACAGATTTCTCAAGGGCCTTCGACAAGATTGACCACAGCATTTTAATACTCAAACTAAAAAAAAATGGATTTAGTGAACCCTTAGTATCTTTGTTTGGGTCTTACTTATACCAGCGTCAACTTTATGTTTCTTTTAATGGCTTTGTAGCTAACTTCTTTTCAGTAACTGCAGGTGTACCTCAAGGCTCTAATCTGGGTCCACTTATGTTTTTAATATTTATTAATGACCTACCGTCTAATTCAAATGTCCCTTCTTTACTGTTTGCCGATGATCTAAAAGTGTTTTTGGAAATTAACTCAATTCAGGATTGTGTACGTTTGCAAGAAACTTTAAAAATCATATTGAACATTGGTGTACTTTAAATAAACTTTATCTTAACATTGCAAAATGTAAAATTTGTACATACACTCTAAAATTTAGTCCCATTGAGTTCAATTATTTGCTAAACAACAGAAGTCTATCGCGTTGTACAAATGTAAAAGATTTGGGCATCACATTTGATAATAAATTTACATTTTCTGACCATATTTTAAACATAAATAATTCGTCTTTAAAAAATTTTGGGTTTTTTAATCAGAAATTGTAAAACATTTAAAAATATGGATTGTCTTAAAACATTATATTTTACTTTGGTTCGATCCAAACTGGAATATGAAGCACTGAATCCAAACTATAACATACATATAACTCTGATTGAAAGGACCCAACGAAGATTTTTTAAGTTTTTATGACATAATGTAAATGGAGTTTATCCAGACAGGGGTTTTGACAATAGAACATTATTGCTAATGTTTAATGTACCTTCGTTAAAGCAACGCCGAGATATTTTATTTAGTTTTTGTTCAACTTATTTCACAATAAGATTGATTGCCCTGACTTGCTGTCACAATTTAATCTTATAGTTCCAAGAAGTAGAAGTAGTTTGTATTTTTATTCATTTGCAAGAACTAATGTTGGTGTATCATCCCCTATTTCAGCTATGTGTTATATTTTTATTAAAATCACAAATTATTGTGATCTAAATAATGATTCTTTAAAATTTATAACTAATGTTATATGTAATAGCTACGCTTTTGTTAGCATATGACATTTATTATTAAAAATATTAAGGCAAATTTCAAAAATAAATACAGATG